ATTTCAACTATAAATTTATAGCTTTTTAACAAACAACTTATAGGTAAGTTTTTTATTTGTTTATTTTTTTGATTTATTATAAGCTATGCAAGGTCGCCTAAGTTTAAGTGCCTTCACTAGTTTTAATGCAAACAATTAATTTTTATTTCCTAAAAAAATCAAACAAAATTTTTTCCTTCCTCTAATAACAAAAACAAAAGAACAAAAATATTTCATAAATTAAAGTCGAAAACAAAAAGGATGATCCAGCCACCAGTGCCATATGAAAATGAGTAACTAATGTTAGTATTTTGTATACACTTAAATCTTTCAAGAATCATTACACTCTTTACGAACTCTCACAGTCACTCATATCAGAGTTTATTACTTTTAAATACAAAATATATAAAATAGAAAATAAAATATATTTGCAATTTTTAAAATTTTGTTTATTAACTATTAAGTTTTATAAATATATTTAACAATTTATTCATGATGCTAAAAATGTCAAATATGTTATTTATTAAATTGTTTTAAACTTATGATTATACTAAAATCTTAACCAAGCCGTTAACAGCTCTCTGTAGAGTAGATAATCATCTGCTAATGCGCTGTTAAGAACCAGTTAATATATAATTTTAGATCGTAGAGTGAATTGCAGTCTTTAATTTACTGTTTTACTGATTTACTATTTCGCTTTCGTTAAAAGGCCATCTTTTATGACACTTAAGACGATATAATAGCGTGAACCAAGGTCCAGATACTCAATATATGTGTTATATTTATTTAATAACAGAATAAGATAAGATTTAAAATCTTTATTCCGATTCTAAGTCTGTTCTAATTTTTAGTTCACTTTAAAATTCACTTCTTTGAATAAAACTTTAACATATATTTCTCGTCTTGTCTTTTCCTATTCTTTTATATACATATCTCCAAAATCGCATTTTGTTTATAATTTCAAGTCAATTAACATCGCCGCAATTGATTGAAGCGGAAACATTTTGGAATTCAACAAGCCACGAAATTGACTTGAGATTCTCGCTTCCAACACGTGCTCAAAGTCAACCGCTTTTTATATGGCTCTACGAATATATGGTCATATATCTGCTGCCTGTTGCCCGTGAGATAAACAAAAGACTGGGCCAACGCAAAAACAACTACAGCTAAAACATACACAACAACAACTACAATAATACAAAAATTAAGAGACGAGCGCTGATTCCATCTGCTTGTCGTTCGCTTTATGTCGCTCTTTATCTGTATTTCTGCGTGTGTTTTTGCTGTTCGCTTCGCACACGGCAATTAAATTGGCTTCGCATTGAGTTCCGTTTTGTGGCTTTGGCTTGTAACTTGTGGACCATTAAGTTGGCCACCGAGTTGAAATATAAACAAAAACTGTGACTCACATGGCACTCGGATCCGACCAGCTGAAGTGGCGTTTTATCCTTTCGAAGTCTAGAGCTGGCAGCTGCTGCTGCTGCTGTTGCTGCTGCTGCTGTTGGCTCAAGGTTGCCTCTTTCTTGGGCGCCATTATGGATGCTGCGCTGGTTGCTGGCTCTCTGACGTTAGGTTAGGTGGGAAGGAGCCGGCTCTTTGCCAATGGCTGCTAGAAATACTTGCACAACGGGTTTTTGGACTCTGCTCTGATCGTGTTTATTTCAATCCATATACACACGTACACACACACACGCACACGCACGCACACTCTTTTGTTTCGCTTAGTGTGATGAGAGATTCGCGCGCGTTTGCACTGTGCAGATGAAAACAAATGACTTAGGCAACGAACTTCATGCTCGAAACGAATTTGTAGCTTGCTATTGTTGTTGCTGCTGCTGTTGCTGCTGCTGTTGCTTAGCTACTTCTGACAGCTTTAACAGCTGTCTTTGGCACGCGGCGCCGATGACAAGGTGTACTCAGACGATTGCGACGCTGCTCAACAGCGTGAAGGCAACGACAGCTCAACGGCAACGACAGGCAAATCACGTAATTGAGTTTATAGCTTCACGCACATAATGCACAAGTGTTTGCTTATTAATCTGTCTACTTGTCTTTACGCTGTTTTGCTTAACAAGTGATTTGCTGGCGCTGCTGCTGCTGCCTGCCTGCCAAACGCGCCGAAGTTCAAAACGAAACTGAAAGCAGCCGCAGCGCTCACAACACACAAGAGCTGCCAAAACGGCACAGGGAGCGAAGCAAGAGACAGAGAGAGAAGGAGAGAGCGCGCACTCATGCAGTCGGAGAGTGTAGCCAGCTGTTGTAATAAGCAATGCAACTGTTGCAGCTGAGCAGTTCACCAAAGCTCTTGCATTGCAGTTGCAAAGCCAACGAACTTGCCTCGGAAAAACAATTTCAGTTTCAGCTTTGAACACGAAGCCAAATTCTTAATATAAATGAGCCACTAATGCATCTATAAACAGACAAACCAAACAAAAGACTTGGGCAACAAACTCGCTCACAGTCCATTAATATTGTTTAATTAATTACATTTTCATTCAAATTGAATGCATTCACATCGTTGCTCAATTCCAGTAGCCGCTCACAGATGCGTACGCCCACTGTGCCGCCACTTAACAATGGGCATTTTGTGGCACTTCATTAAGAGCAGAGCTGGGCGCCATTACACAGCTGCGGGCAATGCGCTTAGGGCACCAATGACTATGGACTTAGTGTCAAATTAGTAACAGCAACAACAACCAAGCCAATGGGAGCAGCGGATGATGAACTCTGATGAACCTCCTAAGACGCTTATCAAACGTTGGCCCAAAGATGACTTGTCTTCTGCGCGCTGCCAGCGAAATTGAACCGCATTGAACTTTATATATTTTACGTTAATTCATTTAACAGCAATTTGGTAAGCTGGTGAAAACTTTTCACAGAAAAAAGTACATATGGAGATGATAGATAGATAGATATAGATATATATGTATATACAGGTACATATGTATATATCTTAATTCACACATTTCCGTCAACGTGCCGGGCCGCGGGCGAAATTAGAAAATCGCATGCTGTGCAGAGACTCTCTCTCTCTCTCTCTCTCTCTCTCTCTCTCTCTCACTCTCATCCGGGATTGATTGGAGTGGATGGCGTGTCAAATCAAAAATCAAAGTACCCGCAGTTATGTAACGCTGCAGTTATGCTAATTGAGAGCATCGCATCGAGAAGTCGAGTGAAAGCGTTTGCAGACGCCGCGCCGACACTTTGTTTGAATATTAATTTTACGTTGCAGTGGGCTTTAATTGGTATGCAAATGGCTAAAATAAAGCAAAAGAAAAAGAAAAACCAAAATCAAACAAAGCCCAAGACAAAGCAATTGGTAAAGCAGAAGCTCAATCAGCGCTGTTTGGGTCCACTCTAATCGTGCTGAGCCTCGTCTAGAAGGCAGAGACTCTCTCGCGGTTACCTCATCGAAATTGCAACAATTATGACTGAAACTGACGTCGCAGCTGGTGCAAATGAAAATCAATGAGGCGTCTTACAAAACGTGGCCAAGAGACCGCAGACCGCAGACCGCAGACTGAAGACTGAAGACTGAAGAGCGAGTGTTTGGCCACAGCTAAAAGTGGCACATAAAAAGAAAGTTCAGCAGCAGCGCACACAATGTATTTGTATTTATATTTATATTTGTCTTTGTATTTATTTCAGTTTCTGTTGTTGTAGTTGTTATTGTTTTTGTTTTTGTTTTTCATTTGTTCGTTGTTCAATTTGATTGCCTCCATCTGCTCTGGAGAGCATTTGATATGAGCTAAGCAAACGTTTTGCCGGCTGGCCAAACGACGACGCGTTGTCTTTTCTGGTTGTGGTAGCTGCTGTCATTGCCAGCGGACGACCCAAAGCACGTTCACATTCACCGAGGAAACGGTAGCAAGTCAAGTAAGCCGACTCATGTGCAAAATTTAAATGCAGCCGCCGCATTCAATGATCGCCTGCCTGGGCGAATCGAAACTCGTTATTTGTTCGGCGTTTGCTTTTCAGCTGTTTCTTTCCTTTATCGCGCGAAATAGCCAAACACAGCCCAAATTGCAACATTTGCCAGCGGCCACAAAGAATTTGTGTCAGTTGCTTGCACAATCAACCAAACACACGGATACATGAACACACACACACACTCACACACACATGCATACATAAATATATAAACAAAGTCGCGCCTTGGCGCAACGAGGGCCAACCAAAAATTGTTTGACCAGAAGAAGTAAAACAGCAATTCGCCAGGCCGTTACATAACCAGCGGCGACTGGGAGTTGGCCGAATCAACTGGGCTTGGCTAAGCGCACTTGACGGAAGTTGGAAAAGTGAATACAGACATATATCTTATATGCATTCCCATATGCATTCCCATAAAACTGTGATCGGGTCCGATGGGGAAAATGAGCAGTGAATTAGTTTTGGTGCGACAGCGTTGACGGGCTATGTGGAGTAAGCCAATAAGTAAATTGGCCAACAGCGAACCACAAATAATCAGACCAACAACAACAGCCGCATTAACAACTGACAGTGAACAACAATTGCTGGCGACAAATTGTCATGAGCCACAACACAACACAACACAACAACTGCAGCGCGTGTGCAGTAGAGCGAAAAACGTTTCAATATCCGGTTTTGGCCATGAAATTATAAATGCAGGATATCAAATTGAACTTGATTATATATATGAGCAGCTGCTAATATTCCATAAATTATAAGCACTGATTCAGTGGCAACAACTAACAGCTACTTTGCAGACTATTTAAGCAATTCAGGCTAAATTAATTCAATAAACTTTAATAAACTAAATTTCAATCGACATCAATTTCAATTTTCGCGCTTTTACTGATATCTATAGCTGTACTGCTTGCACATATCTTGCCATCGCACTCGCACACAGCAGAGCTGCTCAGCTTACAGCGCCCTCTTTGTGGAAAGACCACATAGTTGTATGTTTGAGTGGCGCCACCTAGACATTTACTTTTTACCCATCGATAACAAATATTAATAGTAATAGTATTTTATTTATTTTTAGCTAGCTACTATCGATAACATAAACAGCTGTGCAAATCAAAGCAACTCTAGAAAAAAGCCGCATTTTTTACGTAAACTTATTTTAGTTTGTAAATTCAACAAGTTATTAATGCGAAAGCTGTAAGAACAACGTGAAATTAGAAACATTTAAGAACTCAACTAATAGACAAAACCAATTACAAAATGATCTACACAACGACGCTACTGTCGCGAGGCTCCATCTTCGGGTCGCTAATAAGCAAAGTCAGGCAAGTTGTAGCCAAAAATCCAGTCACTGCTCATACAAATCAAATCAACAATGAAAATTTCACACCTACGCCAAAACCAAACAGACCCTTGGCCGCTGCCAGCCTGAGCAACAGCTCAGCGCTTCACTCCAAGACGCTGGAGGAGAAAATCGGTCTTCCGCCCAAGCCGAAGAAGCCGCTAACCCCATATTTTCGCTTCATGCGCGAAATGCGACCCAAGATGTTGGCCAAAAATCCTAGCATAAGCACCATTGAGGTAGTACGACAGCTATCCAAGAGCTGGGGGGAAGCTGATCCCAAGCTGAAGGAGCGCTTGCAATCGGAGTACAAAAGGGATCAGGAGCTCTATCTGGAGCAACGCACCAAGTACGACGCCACGCTTACCGAAGAGCAGCGTGCCGAACTCAAGCAGTTGAAACAGGACATCAACGATGCCAAGGAACGCAAACAGCTGCGCAAGCGTGTCAAGGAGTTGGGACGACCCAAAAAACCGGCCTCTGCATTCCTTCGTTTCATTGCCGTCGAGCGCACGAATACGCCACAAACAGAGAATCAAACGTACCGCGAATGGCATCAGAAGGCAACTGCCAAATGGACACGCCTCTCGGACGAAGAGAAGGGCGTCTATCTAAGCGAATCGCGCAAGGAGCTTGATCAGTACAAGTATTTATATCAATCTAGCCAAAGGTCAAAAGTCAATGCCCTCACTAATCATTTCATTTGCTTTTGCAGAAAAAACATTTCGATTTGGGAGGAGAAAATGATTCGCCTGGGCCACATCGACGTGGTGCGTCATGGCAATCTGATCGATCCGCCAGAGCCCAAGCCCCGCAAACTCCAAGCAACCAAAGAGAAGTAGTCTGACGTGTCCTCCTCCATCATTTGCCATCACATGATCACACATTTGGTTTTCTGTTTTTTAGCTTTTCATTTCTTGAAAATTTAATTTGTTAAGTGCTTTACTTGCGTTCATAACTATTATTAAATAAGTCATTTACTATATGCCAGTGAAATAATGCTGTAAGACTATTTTGAATAATCATTTCGAATTATGTAAATACCTTCGGCGACATGTATTAAATACTTAAAGAGACTTTAAAGCGTTTTTCAATGGAAGCTCTGCCTAAATTAACTGCTAAGTATTCATAAACCATATTTTCAAGTGCGGGAATATAATTATATTATAATACTGGTATATATTATAATATAATATATATACTTTAACCCATATAGCCTAGATTTCTGCAATTGTATGCTTTGAAAATGAATTTCCAAGGTATTCAAACATTATCTGATATTTTTTATTAATGAAAATAATCTAGCCTATCTTTAGAATAATACATATAAGGCAGTATGGCCTTTAATTAACTATTTCTTATCTAACAAAAAAAATTAAAATATTGTGTTTTAGTTCAAGTAATCGAAGTATACTCTAACTGTGAGTCAAGAAATTAAATTAAAATTAGACTTCAAATGTCACTAATTTTCGATTAGGATTATTGTCGACTTAATTGAGGAAATCTAAAATCAAGAATTTACTCATCGTGGTAATCTATTATTTTAATTCTTCAACTTTAAAGATTTCTTTTATTTCTACGGTATTTACTAATGGAGAAGCTTTCCTATTTTTTAATTCTATGAAAATTAATTATTAATTAAAAATTCAGAATCGCCTAAACGTGGCATAAAACTAATCTATTTGCCAGCTAAAGCAAACACGTGTTCGAGTCTTACGGGGTTAAGATCACACTTGATTTTCAGTTGATTTAACACGGTAATCGACACAATTTTAATCTATCTGTGTAGATCACGGTAAACAAATATGCATTAAATTTGTTACCTCAAATGCACAGAATAAAATGACCAAAAACTTAATTATATATGTATGTATGTATATAATGGTACAGTCAATCTGTCATGTATGTATGTGTATAAAATGACTTGGTTGATTTGATGCGGAGGCACAACTGCTCGCTGCTTGAGTCAGACTCGAAGTGAGCGAGCTGCTCGCTGGCCGGAATTGGGATAGGCTTGGCTGCAGACTGATGACAGCCATTTTCTGACACTGGAATGCTGCTGACTGGAATGGTCAACAGCTCGCTCACACGCTCTCAGTGGATGCATGTGTGTGTGCGTGCGTGAGTAGCATTGATAACGGCTTAAGTTTATTGCTGATCAATGAGCATACAATTTGTTACGCTCAGCATTTTGCTACAGTTGCTCCGGCTACACTTGGAAAAATTTTGGTTGACTGCTAGCAATGATAGGGAAAGGCACCAAATCTTCTAATATTGCTATAATTATTTATTTTTATTATTATTAATAATTTATGTAATTAGTAAATTTAATAGTATATTTAATAAACATTTGAAAAAGCAGCTTGTTAGGTACTCTTCACCCGGCAGGTAATTGTAGCTATTTTTGGTACATCTCGTACCATATGCAGCCACCGAATCTCTCTCTCTCTCACTCTCAATTTGTGTCTATACCACTTCCATTCAGCGCTGCTTGGCTGACTGCGCTCTCATTTTACAGACAGTTGGCCAACAGGTAGTCGCATTTAGCTGGCTTAAACAATATTCACTTTAACCCTCGTCTGCCTGCAGTAGAACTTTGGCTAACACACGCTATGAACTCCATGCTAATTATAACAGCCAAAATTTACAGCTCGTGTTAATTGTGCGCTGCAACTCGTTTCCAGTCGCATGGTCAAAGTGAGAAAAACAACAAACACACACACACACACACAGAACCAAATAAAAATATTTCATAGCTAAAAACTTTAATTTGGCCGCCACATTCTTTGCACAGAATTCAACTTACCTCCGATTTTTGGCCAAATAACACGTTCTGTGACAAAACTTAGAGCTGCCGAGCCGCAAGCACAATTGCGCAAGCCATTTTGGCTGAACCTTGAGCTACTCCAAAAGCTAAAAAAATAAATTTAAAAAAAATAACAGCAACAACTACATTTGAGATTGTCGAAAAGATCTAACTGTGCGCTAGGCTAGGCTAGSCGAGGCGCGCCTGGCCAATAAATCGAAAATCTGGTAGAAGCACTTTAGAGCCGCGTATTGATGATGCCTTGGCTGGCCAGGGGCAGGCGCTGCTGCATGCACTCAATATACATATGAATGTGCGCATGCATGTGTATGTCTGTTTGTATATATGTAACACTCACACACATGCAGCAGCTTTCAATGTTCTTTGCTGCGGCGCAGCCAGGTGGAACATGCATTTGTTTTGCGACTCTAGCAGTAGCTACTTATTAGCCAGCTTTGCGTTTTTTTGTTTGTCTGATGTTGCTTATTATAATCGTTATTAGCCCATAACAGCGCCTAGTTAGATACCTCCCCTCCCCTACCCCACCCGTCGCCGCCTGCCCTTACAGACTCTGCTGCCTGAACTGGAGGCCAAGCTGCTGCTGCCTAAATGCTTTTGCGCAAGAGAAATTCATAAAATATACAATTTTGGTTGATAAAATAAACTCACTTTTTTATTAACAATTTAGCTCAATGCAAAAATATATACATATATATATATATGTATATGCATATATCTGGTATACGTTTCAGTTAAATATTCACTCTTTTTTAATTTAAAATCAAAATTCAATTATATCCAATCGATAAGATCCCAATGTGAAGATACACATATCTTGATGTGCCTAAATAATACGCAATAGATGCTAGAAAAATGATATTATACATAGTTATGATCTATGACAGCTGCGGTCATCGTAACCTAGCGCTTAAGATCTAGCTGAATATATATATATACATACATACAATATAGATATCGAGTACATACAACAAGGAATTTTGGACAATTACAAAAGCAATAATTTAATACTCCGCAACTTTAACTAAAATGTGTGATGTGATTCCATGAATTCTCCTTATATGTGGGTGAATGGAAATAAAGATATAATTAAAGTTAGCCCCAACTCAACAAAACTATGAACAAAATCGGACATTTTTAGAAGTTTTCTTTGGGTTTCTCAATCGTGCTCGACACAGTCAGCTAAGGGTTCACCGAGGAATGGTATCAGAAATATCGATTTATGTGGATGCCGAATGATGCAATTAACTAGGCCGGCGCAGCTCAGCCGCGCTTGCTGCTCGACTGGGCGTGGCTGTGGCTATCCTCCGAGGGCGGACGCACCCAGCCGCCATAGCGGCGCTCCATTTCGCGCGCCACGGCCAGACAGAGATGGTCCTGGCCGGGATTGGCAACCACCTGGATGCCCATGGGCAGGTTGCGACGATCCAGGCCAATCATGCAGTTGGTGACGGGCAGGCCGAGCGTGTTGAAGATCGCCATGTACATCGGCTCCAGCAGCTTGTGGTAGATCTGGTAGTGTTGGTGCGCTGTGTTGGGGAATGTGGGGTAGAGGAAGACGCCGTCTGTGCCGAGCAGCTCCTTGAATTCAGTCTTGAGCGCTTCGATGATGCTGGCCAGATGCTTGTGCCGTGAATTGGGTATGATCTTCATGAAATTCTGCAGATGGCCGAAGATCACCGAGGGCAGGATGCTGTCCGAGCAGCCAAAGAAATACTTGACCGTCTCCTTGCACACTGTCTTGGGCTGCTCCCCCTCCTCGGTCTTGTGGTAGATGGTCTCGATGTTCTTCATGGTCAGCATGGCGGACAGCGAGATGTCCAGCGACCACTTCATCTTCCGTATGTTCACACGCTTCGCATTGAAGTCGCTGGCCACTCGATTGATGGCCGCATGCAGGTCCCGGCTGAGCGGCCGCATCATGCCCGAGGGACCGTCGTTGTCCATGAAGAAGAATCGGATGCCGTTCGCGCTGATCTCCTTGTCGAGCGTCAGCTTCGGCCCGGTCGGATCGCTCATGCACTTGAGCAGCAGCGGCAAGTCCTTGGCATAGCGTGTCATGGGCGCAATGGTAAAGAAGTCGCCCCACTTGGGAAAGTCGCTGGTCGGATGGTGGCCCCGAAAGGAGACCGCATACGGTGTGGGCTTGTGGCCCCAGATGCCGCTGAACATGGCCGGCAGACGCGAGGAGCCGCCAATGTCCGAGGTGAGGCCCAGCAGGGAGGCGCCACTCGCCAGCAGCGCCGCCTCGCCGCCCGAGGAGCCGCCTGGGGTGCGCTTCAGATCGTAGGGATTCTTCGTCTGGCCCGTGACATTGTTGTACGTCTCCCACAGCAGGCACAGCTCCGGCGTGTTGGACACCAGCAAGATGATGCCGCCGCAGCGCTTGATCTGCTCCACGACGGGCGCGTCCGCCTTGGCTATCTGCGGGGTCTTGAAGACGCGGCCCGCCTGGTTGGTCATACCCTTGACAGCGATGCTCTCCTTGACCGTGACCGGTATGCCCAGCAGCGGCGTATGCTCCTCCATGGACTCGACGCTGTTAATGCCCATGGCAATCACATTGTCAATCTCGCGCGCCTCCTCCAGCGCCTCCTCAAAGCGATCCTGCACAATCGCGTTGATCAGCGGATTTACCTGTGAATCACAGAGCATAGACACACACACACACACACGCACACCTGTTAAGCATTAGTCGGCCAATCTATTGCGTGTCTCCATTACCTGTCGACATCGTTCGATGTATGCCTCAACGACTTCTTCGCTCTTAATCTGCAAAGAAATAAAAAAGAGCTCGCTGATCATTTCCGCATTAGCTAGACTTTAACATTTCCATTTTGTGTGTGAGCACATTTGATCAATGTTTCATTGCTCCATTCTTGTCGCTTAATTGTTTGTGAGAACCGAGCGACGGCACAAAAGCAATTTACGTTAAATTAAAATCAATAAAAATTCACAATCATGCAGCACCCGCCAATTGTCTGCCTGCCAGAGAAGGAAAGAGAGAGCGAGAGCGACAAGAATGCGAATGCCTCAGCGTACGACGCGGCGTATGAGTAATGTGCGGATTTTCAATTGCTTATTGCGTAGGGCCAGCAGGAGGCTTGGGGGTGGGGCCAGGCTGGACTCTATTGAATATATGAAACACACTCACATAAATAATGTATACTGAGCATGGCTGAGTTGTTAATCAAGCATCTCAATCCAAATTGAGAAACAAGTAAAGTTATTAGCTCTTACTTGATATATATAT